CCATTAGTTTTGTCTAAGTAACCATATGTAGGTTTGCACTTCTTGCGCTCACCTCATCTAAAAAAATCTTCCATTGCCTGGAAGAGAACGATCAAAAGCGATAAGGGCAATTTCCCTCATTTTTATTTCATTATTGCAATTGTATTTATGTATGCAACGAAGTGTTAATAAATAAATATAAAACTTTTTTCATTATCAATTGTTTTACATAATTCATACTTTCCCACCGTCTGTACCTACTTCTACTGGTCCTTGAAAATAGGCCTTGAAAAAGGGCTGGTGGCGCTGGCTGGGTCTTGTTTGAAAACGTCTTATGTAAATAATATAACGAATTATTCCAGATAAGTTTTTTTTAAATTGATTTAGTATAATACGGTAATATGTCTTGTAAATAAATACACGTGGAGACTCGGATAAGAATATCAATAACCTTACGTAAGCTATTGTGTCAACTACATAAAGATCTTCAGAGATAAAACTCGTTTCGAAAAATACATTATCGGAATAAAAATGGCATATCTTAAGTTATCTAAAAATATAATTGTGTTAATTTTGGACACTATTAATAATCAAGCGAACAAAGGATATATTGTAATAATTGAATGGTTCATTAATGCTACGCTATGATATGCTTATAAAAAGCTGAAGAGAGTGCCTACGTCTGTTTATACTCTCGGGGCGTAACTCCGACGATTTTATAACGCCTGATGAAAATCTGCCATTGCGTATCTCAAAAACCAATGGTCTGATTTCTCACAATATTAAAATGCCACATTATCCCTGAGTAACATATACTATTACGACGAGATTTAAAACTGGCGAAAATTGCTGCTAAAATAGGTTGGATAAAGATGAAGGAGGTTTTCTTTCGGGTTATGAAGATTTGTGCGTGGGAGGAGTCACGGTGTGTGACAGTCGCGTTTGGCGGGGGTAAGGATAGGGCTCAGCTGCTACCTGTCTCCGCCCATCGGCAAGCTGAAGGCAACTGTCAGGTTTTAGTTAAAGTTTGAGTCGCACAGAATCCCTGAGCAAAATGCCGCAGGGATATGCGTAACGTATTTCCTGACGTTAAAAAAATTCCCCCGGACCTCGTCCGTATATCAAAGAATACCGAAGTATTTCTTTCTTTATCTATACTATTATGGAAACTACAACATATACTATATCTATAACAATAATTGTGGTGACTGGTCGGACTTGAATTCGTGTATGCGGTGATGTAAGTTATTTAGAGGGTTGTTTCCACGATAATGTAAGTGCGTGCTCCTATTTCACCATGCCTACTGCTGATAGAGGAAAAATCTTTGATTTTTTTTCCGTTTATATACTTTTTTTTAATATTATAGTTAATTACATAAAGATGTCATGTGGAACATGGTGTAATGGTTGCAGCTCCTTACAATGATTTTGTAAAACAGAAAACCTTGGCGATTACAAAAGAGTGGCAGAGAGTTTATCGTCAGTTCTTCTCTTCCGTTCTATAACCTTGATGTGAGAACTGGCAGTAAATGAATAATCAGAAGCATTCAATAAGTATTCCTTTATTGACGTTCACACTACATTGTGTTACCTAAATGAATTAATGATTTTGAATTTGAATAATATCCAGCCGTGCGAAGTCAGGACAGACTTGATAACTTGACGTTTCTTTTAATATTGTCGTAGAGTAAAGCACTGTTATATAAACGTTTCTAAAATCATCCATGTACATTTCCAGCTAGCAATCGACTAGAATATACAGTAGTTTTAACACGTATTAATTTTTATCTGTAGTCAAATAAATATATTTTTTTCAAGCTTACCGTCAGATGACCACTTCATGCCATCGATTGGTAACGGCCACATCGCCACCAACATCTTCAGCGACACAGTCTACATGAATGGACTTTACAATGGGCGAAAAGGGGAAAGTCGTCGCGCAAGGATCCCCTCTTGGGCCAATATAAGACTGAACTCAACTCTAACAAATAACCCGTATAGCCCTGTGTATAGCTTGAATACAAAACATGGTGTCTTTACTGTAACGGTGGATAGAGAGAGATCTATTGTCACTCAACGGATCTTCGCTCACAAGTACTATACTAGAGCTATTGTTAATCAAATACACGTGGAGCCAAAGAGACGTATTGGTAAGTTTCTTGTTTATTATTAAAGATTTATATATGATAAGAACAGTATACAAGATGCAATACACATGAACTCTATCTATTTAGTTTTCCATAAAAAAATATTGTTACTATTCTATTACGTCCACTATTTAACATTACGTAAATCTAAATTTTTAGAATACCTTTATTCTTAACATAGCAAAGTAACACGACCGAGTCTTTGCTACATTTATTTTATCAGGCGCAATAATTTTGTAGCGATGTTCTTTTTGTATTTGCTTTTGTACACCGCTTATTAACGTAAATACAAATATCAAGTCGTTTTAATTTAGAATTAACATATTGTTATAAATAGATCGGACTTGAATTTGACACAGGCTTATATAAAATTCCTTATGATGTTCTTTTATTGAGTCTGATTAGTTCTTTAGTGAGTGAGATTACTGCGATTATTTCATTGATTATTGTTTTTAAATGTAGCTAAGTTGAGAGACGTTGTCTAATTTTGGGCTTAAAACATCTCCATGTTCATATCGTACAAGCGAATGTTAGCCGCTAGTTAATCGGTGCTGTTTAGTAACGCGCCAGGCTGTTAATTGAACGGCTAATTAAGCTAGTTGGCTGTGACATATATATATATATAACTTTCATAGATTATTTTGTGGATTTCAGATCCAAATCATATCCACCACGAAATCTGGATAGCAATAAAACAAATGCCGGGACCCGACAGTAAAGATATTGATTTCGCGTCCCCAACGCCTGAGATAATCGATGGACGCTCGGTTTGGACTTCATGTGGAAAGACCAAGGTCTCAGAAGACCCTGAGTATCAACCTCTACCAGTAGATGTGTGTGCCTACTGGACATCTGTACCTGATCATCTCGTAGTACCACATTACCGGCCAAGGGTTTTTACGTTTCTGATGACGGTGGATAAGAATGCGACTGTTGCGAGGAAGGAATTTATTAAAGGTAATTTTTATTATTTAATATACTTATAAATCGTATATCTGAAAAGCGATTTGCATATATATTTATTAAAGAAAAGCCGCACAATCAGACATATAAAAATAGGCTTGAAAATGTCAAATTAATTATATTAATGTCATAACACATACTTGACATACTTTTACACTATTACACAACACAGCCAAATTAGGTTCCACTTAGTACAATTAAGTTATTTATAATTGTTGTCAAAACTTATGGCCTAAATACAATCCCACACTATAATGGCCTTTTAAGCAGTGTTGGCCTAGTGGCTTCAGTGTGCGACTCTCATACCTGAGGTCGTAGGTTCGATCCCCGGCTGTTCACCAATGGACTTTCTTTCTATTTGCGCATTGAACATTTGCTCGAACGGTGAAGAAAAACATCGTGAGGAAACCGATATGTCTTATACCCAAAAAGTCGACGGCGTCTGTCAGGCACTGGAGGCTGATCACCTACTTGCCTATTAAATTTAAAAATGATCATGAAACAGATTCAGAAACCTGATGCCAAGACCTAAAGATTGTAGCGCCAATGATTTATTTATTTATTATAATGGCCTTTAAAAATGTATATTTGTAGCAAGAGACACACTTTTTTATATAAAATTCGTTTAAAAAACTTAAAAATTATATTTAAAAGTTATTGAAAAACAGTGTTACAGGAAGATGGGGACGAGCTATTCGACAAACACATTGAAGAATGGCAGAAACTGTATCAAGAAGCTGGCATGGAGTTAGAAGGAAATCTTAAATTGGTAAGGAATTATCAATTCTGATAAACATTGTATACAGCATACAAATAATTCAATTAATTTCTTTTAAAAGCCGGCAACGCACTCTCGAACCCTGGCATTGAGAGTGCCCTGGTATCACTTAACATTAGGTGAGATATTTTTTTATAGAAAATAGAATAGAATGGGGGCAAACCGTTTGCCCCCATTCTATAAAAAATAAATCCAGTAATTTCGAACAAAACATCTCATTAGAATAGCCCGGTATGTACCTATCTAAATCAGAACAGATTTTAATGCAGTCAGACATAATTATTCAAAAGCAATGTTTTTTGTCATCAAAAATAACAATTGTCTTATAAAGTCTGTTTCTTATGATTGTTCACATGTTAAAAGAGTAAGTGTGGAGTTTCTTGTCCATTCTTCTCCACACGAAACTACCTTTTGGAAGGGGCAACTAGAATCTTCTTTGTATTTTGTTTGACGTTCAAAACTGCCATTTTAGGTGGTCTAATTGAAATAAATGATTTGACTTTGACTTTTGACTTTGAAGACCCAGTGTTTCCTAAAGTGGGGCCACGCCCCACAGGGGGGAAATTTATTTGTTAAGCGGGGCAATCGAAATCAGCTGGATATAACACAACATGGAAACTTGAGACTGAAGTAAACCAAATTGGAACCGAGTATTAAATCTCTGTGCAGCAAGCAATAAGCGCAAACATCTCACTAGAAAAATATTTTTCTGTTTCTATCTCTATATATACCTATAAAATTCTAGTGTCATAATGTTCGTTCCCATACTGCTCCGAAACGGCTCGACCGAATCTTATGAAATTTTTTATGCTTATTCAGTAAGTCTGAGAATCGGCTACTATCTATGATTCCCTAATTCTCACCCCTCTACGATCAACCCCTATTTTTTATTATTATACGTAGTTCTTTTATTGAACTAAAAAAATGTTTCCTAGAAATAATAAACATGGCAAAAACGTTTGCCAGGTCAGCTAGTATGTCATATATTTCTGTATGCAACGTTGTTTGAAGCGTTAATTAATAAATAAATAAATTTAATAGTTGCCTGACCTCAATTGAAGTCAAAACCATCCATATCTAATAAAAAGATTTTAGTTAAAAGACACTTAAAAATTATTAATCATAAATTTCAGTCGAAAATCGTGAATGGTATCTGGTATTACTATCTCAGCTCGCTGCCTTCGAAGGAGACATATCATCCATCAGACAGATATTATGGTCTCAGTCCCACTGGTTTGGCGAGAGGTGGATCATTTGAAGACTATGAAGGTACGAGGATCTTCTTGTCCTTTTCTCTCTAGGTGTTTCTTAGTTTATTTTTCCATACTTGGATTGCCTAGAAGAAATCGCTTGTTGTATAAGGCCGCCCGTTGGCAAATATTTTATGTAAACTAACTTTTTGAAGTTATACTTCTTTTGGCGCGTTAGGGAAAAATTATGAGAGTAAATTTTTACGATGCGCGCGCATACAGTCACAAATAGCCGACACCCTGAAGTTAGTTAAAATGTCTATTTCTTTAAGTATGTAGAAATATTTTTCTTGTGATTTTTAAATAAACTTTATTTAATCAGGTAATGCGTTATAATGAAACTTTCAAAGTATTAATTACCTACCTTTTTCTATTGTTAGTGTCGTTTTTTCTAGAAACGTAGAATAAGGCGAAAGATAAAAAAATTCAAAAGCTTTTTATCTTTTTAATTTTTAACGCCAAATAAGGGTAACTTCTAATGCGTGTACATAAGTAGACACATGGTTTTTTTATATAATGACAAACGCGTTGTTAAGTGATACAGCCCATGGACACTCACATTGTCAAAAGGCAAGTGCGTTGCCTGCCTTTTAAGAATTGGTACGCTTTCTTGATGGACCTTAAGTCGAATTGGTTCGGAAATACTTCATTGGGCATCTGGTTCCACATAGTGGTGGTGCAAGGCAAAACTGCCTTAAGAAACGCTCAGTTGTGATACAAAATCTTACCATGATTTATATTAATCTAGTGTTGTGGTTAAAAAATCCAGGCGTACAACCCTATATGATAATAAAACAATTTTTTACCGGATTGAAGTTATGTATTTACAATTATTTTTCATAATTTTAACCTTAACCGACGTTTCGCGTGCTTTACAGCGTGCGTGGTCACGGTGACTGAAGACAAAAGGTGTTGAATGTCAAAAAGTATCACAGCTGTAGAAAAAGTTGTGTTATCTGTATTTGTTTCCCCAGAGTTGGTATCGACTAAAAGATGGAGGATTTTGGCAGAAATGACTCACGGTGTCCTCTATAAATTTAAAATTATGAAAAATAAATGTAAATACATAACTTCAATCCGGTAAAAAATTGTTTTATTATCAAATGTGTGAAAGCTATGTCAGTAAAAGACAACCCTATATGGCTGAAGATTGCATCGATTTCTTTGATATCTTTTTAATAGACAAGTAATAGAGGCTATGTGCCTGCCGCCTGGTACATGCTTTTGGGTCTTAGAGCTCAGAAACGTCATTTTACTTCAACATAACAATTTCCAGGTCACAATTTCTGGGACACAGAGATGTGGATTTATCCAAATATTCTGCTTTTGTATCCGGAGTACGCGAAGGCGTTGCTCCAATATAGGCTGGAGACTGCTTATGTCGCCGCTGAATTGGCCAAGATCACGGGAAATAAGGGATACAGGTATCTATTGCAATAGAACACAACCTAGAAGTATAATAATAATAATTTATTTGCAAGAATATGGTACAATTTTTTTAAAATTAATTAGGAGTCAAAGGGGCAGGAGGCTCACCTGATGTTAAGTGATACTGCCGCCCATGGGCACTCACACTGCAGTATGAGCGTTGTCAGCCTTCGAAGAATTGGTACGCTCTTTTCTTGATGGAAATACCATCCGTATCCCCTCGACGTCCGTCGTTCCACAACTGAACGTTTTTCAAGGCAATTTTAGCCGTGCACCACCACTGTGTAACCAGCTGCCCACCTAAGTATTTTTGAACCATTTCGACTTAGGGTCCTTCAAGAACAGCGTACCATTTCTTAAAAGGACGGTAACGCACTCGCGAGCCCTCTGGCATTGAGAGTGTCAATTGGCGGCGGTCTCACTTAACATCAGATGAGCCTCCTGCCCGTTTGCCTCCTGTCACATAAAAAAAGAGTCTTTTTTTCTAATAAGTTTGTAAGTGCACGCCTCTATAGGAATTTGTTATACACATAATAAAAAATAAAAAAGTCCGATTAGGTTATGTCGGCGTCCTCACTATATTTTCTTACAACGAGTTAATTTCCAGATTTCCATGGGAAAGCGCATACACAGGAGGGGAAGTGACGCAGCCATGTTGCCCGGAAGTGGCTGAATTCGAGCAACACGTCACCGGATGTATTTCTTTCGCGGCGAGACAATATCTTGCTCTTACTAGGGACGAATACTGGCTGAAGGTAACCAAGATTTTTATATACGAATAGAACTTCGTATCACCTACATATATGTGTGTCAAAATTAATCTTTGTATATATGTTACAGTTAACACTAGTTTTTAGTTAAAACTCGTTTTCCCTAGTTAAAAATAGTTTTTACTAAATGCCTTTGTCAAAACTAGAAATAACAAGTGAAAACTAGAATTTACCACTGATATAATTCATTTTCTGATAAAACTAGTTGTCACTCCGAGCTTTAGTTACAACTAGCACTAGAGAAACTAATTTGAATTTTGGGATTGAAAACAAGATAAAGTTTTAAAAATATTTATTAAAAAGATCTAGGGTAGGGTTAGGGTTAGGGTTGAAGGACTCCTTTCTCCGCAATTAGACTCGAGGTTGGTCCGTTGTGCGTACGAGTCCTGGCTAATTTAGCCAGCCTAGCTCCTTCCAGAAGCACAGAAGTCTCCTGGGCACTTCACAGGCTTCCCGGAGCGACCTCACCGTTCCGAGGATTTTTTCATGTTGATTAGCCACAGCCTCGCATTCCAGGACTACGTGGGTGACTGTTTCCTCTGCGCTGAAACAGCCTCTGCACAGGGGGCTGTCTGTCGCGCCTAGGATAAAAAGATGTTTATTTAGGAGCCAATGACCCGTTATTGTCCCTATCATTATCTTAAGGTTAGTTCTGTTTAAGTTAAGTAGTCGCTTTGTCAGTTGCGGGTTTACTGCTGGCAAAGCCACTTTGGACTGTCTGCAGGCCGCACCATGCGACCATCGTTGTTGCTGGAGTTCAGCGGATCTCTGGCGAATCCAGGTTCGCACCAGCGAGAAGGGCAAAGGAAGGAGCGGATACGGGCCAGCAGGCATCATTCCGGAGCCTCTTCTCGCAAGCTCGTCCGCAGCATCATTGCCGAGAGATCCACTGTGTCCCTTTATCCACTGCAAGGTAACCCTATTGGTTCGGGTTATGACCTCCAGTGCTTCATGACACTCCAGTATTAGTTTGCTGTTGTTTTTTTGTTTCCGAGCGCCATCAGCACGGATGCACTGTCGGATACGAATTTAATGCAAAAGTCATTAATCCCTAGCCGCTGCACGGCTCTGGCTGCTTCGGTTAAGGCGACACATTCACATTGAAAGATCGTGCTCTGTGTGCCCAAGGGTAGGTGTATGTTGATGTTGAGATCAAGAGAGAATATGCCAGCGCCTGAGCCAGACCCTGTTTTGGATCCATCTGTATATATACGAAGCTCATTTACGGTCGACCGATCATGTTCCTCTTCTCTCAGTTGTATAAGATATTTCCTGTTAAATATTAATTGGTTAGTGATTCTATCACAGGGCGCAGCAATAAGAGGTTGATACTCTATTGCCCTGTTGAGAATCGCTGTGTGTGCACTGTAGTGATTTTTTCCCCATAGATCCAGTACCATAAGCCTGATAGCAGCCAGGGCTGCCTCCTGCTGTATGTGTAGGTCCAGGGGTAAGATCTGCAGGGCCATCTCCATTGGTGCAGTTGGTGTTGTTTTCATGCAACCGCTAGCAGCGGACAAAGCAAGCCTTTGGAAGCGTCCGAGTTTGGTAATTGCCGTTTGAAGTTCAGTTCTGGGCCACCAAACAAGGGCTCCATAGGCTAGCATTGGCCTAATTATGGCAGTGTATATCCATAATGTTATCTTAGGCGATAAGCCCCATTTCACGCCTAGCATCTTTTTGCATTGATAAAAGGCGATCGTTGCTTTGTTTAGTTTGTGTTCTAGATGTTTGTTCCAGAGCAGTTTACTGTCCAAAATCACACCTAGGTACTTGATTTCATACTTGAGTATGAGTTCAGTGTTGAAGAGTTTCGGAAGTTTGTACGGTCCAAGAACTCTTCGGTTGGTAAAAAGTATTAGTTCTGTTTTTGATGGGTTGACAGATAACTCGTGCTTATTGCACCATCTCTCAATCACTTTGAAAGCTCTTCTCATGAGGTCACATAAGGTGCTTTCAAAGTTCCCAGATATCAAGATAGCTATGTCATCAGCATATCCCACAGTGTAGAGATTGTCAGCGTTGAGTTCTGTGATTAGTTCATTAACCACAAGGTTCCACAGTAGCGGCGATAGAACACCTCCCTGCGGACATCCTCTGCTGACAATGCCTCGTGTTGTGGAGTTTACCGTGAACTGTATAGCTCGTTGTTTTAGCATGTTGTTTATCCATTCTATAAGGGTTGATGGTACTCCACATGACCTTAGTGCTCTGGTTATACTCGTGAAGTTTGTTTTGTCAAAAGCACCTTCGATGTCAATGAATGCACCAAGGGTTGACTGCTTTAACTTCAGGGAGTTGCCAATGCGAGACACGACGTTGTGGAGTGATGAGTCCGTTGATTTGCCCGAGCTATAGGCATGTTGATTAGGGTGTAGGAATTTGGATAGCGATACCCGGCTGCGTATCTCCAGGTCTCCTAGCCTCTCCATCGTTTTTAAGAAGAATGAAGTAAGGCTAATAGGCCTGAAGGACTTCGCTTGGGTATAGTCCTCTTTACCTGGTTTTGGGATGAATATGATTTTTACTTCTCTCCATTTCAAGGGTATGTATCGGTGGGCTATACAGGCTCGGAAGACAGAGACAAGATAGTCTACTATTAAGTTCCCACTCCATCTTAGTAGACCTGGGAAGATGCCGTCCAAACCAGCCGCTTTGAATGGAAGGAAGGAGTTGATTGCCCACGTTACTTTTTCATTAGAGATTATTTTGTGAGCTACTTGCCAGTCTGAGCTGTCGGTGGCTCTCTCTGAGTATGGTTGCCAGGCCTGTTCGTTGGCAATTATGCAACCCGGAAAGTGTGTTGCCAGTAGTAGTTCACATGTTTCTGAATCAGTTTTTGTAAATGAATTGTCAGGTTTTTTAGACAACCGATCGAGTGATTGGGCTCTCTGGAGAGGCATGATTTCACCCTGGTTGCCTGGTTGTTTGTTTCAATACTGGTGCAGAAGTGTCTCCAACACTCCTGCTTCCTAGTACGTAAAAGTTTTTTGAATCGCCTTCTCGCGACCGTGTACTTGTCCCAGTCGGTGGGTAACCGTGTGTTCATTGCTCTATTGAACAGCTTCCTGACCTTCCGTCGGTGTCTCTCCAGTTCGGGGCACCACCAGTTATGTCTCCCCATCTTGGTATGGTAAGGGGACACGACCGTTCATAGCTTGTCAGGAGTAGGGACGTTAGGTTGTTTACATGTTTGTCTATGTCTTGTATATTTATGGTGGTTGGTATCGATAGTTTGTCTACCTCGGAGCTGATAAGTTTATAAAATTTTACCAAATCGGTTCTCCGCGGTATACGTCTAGGTTGGGGTTTAGGTAGCTCCCCTTTGATTGCAAAGCGGATCCACCTATGATCCGAGCATGATAACTCGTTGGATACGTGCCAGTCCTGTATGTGATCTGACAGACCAGCAGTTACCATTGTTAAATCAATAATAGTTTGCGAACGCGCGTTGATAAAAGTTGGTTTTGAGCCATTGTTTGCCAAGATAAGGTTATTGCTAAGTATAAAATTAAGCATATCCTCACCTCGAGTGTTGGTACTAGCGTTACCCCATAACGTGTGGTGCGCATTGGAGTCCGCCGCGATGATTAGCTCCAGTTTCTCCCTCTCACAGTAGTCAGCCAGAAGGCCGAGTTCTGGAGTGGGCACGTCCTCGTCACCTGGTAAGTAGGCGGACGCCAGGACGACGTCTGGTTGATTGTCTCTGGGTAACCTAATAGCTGTAAGGTTCCTTGAACAGAGTTCGTTTATTAGAAATGCTGGTACATGTTTAGGCAAGATTATGCAAGTTCTAGGGTTACTTACGGAGGTATCCAGTAAAAGTTTACCACCGGTGCAGCCCAGGCCACATATCTTGCCATTCCTGATCCACGGCTCCTGGATCGCGGCGATGGTCTTCGGATTGGTCTCCAGCAGTCTGCGTAGGGAAGCCGACGCTGTCTGACTGTGCTGGAGGTTAGCCTGGATGAGGTCAGTTCGGCGATGGGGAGGAGCGCAGACAGCTGTCGCTGAGTTCACTCCCCCCGGTCTCCTGAAACAACTCATCATCCGAAGTTAGTTGCACCGGTGACGGTGGTTGTGTAGCTACCTCCATAGGGACGTGTGCCCCGGTGACCGAAGCTGCCCCCGTCAGGGACGTGGGCAGCCCCGGCCCCGACGACGCCACCCCCGATGTGCTGGCAGCAGTTGGTGGGGCGTTGGCCACCTGCGAGGGCCCATCTCTATCCAGGATGCGGATATAGATGTTCCCCATCAGGTAGTATAAACGCCGATTATGCTCTTTGATTTTAGAGATCTCAAACTCCGGCACACGAAAGAAGAGGGACACGCCTGTCGGGTCCTGAGTTCTTCGTTCGTATGTCAGGGTCCAGGATCTGATGTTGAGGTGGCGGTTTTGCCTCGTGATCAGTTTCCTCAGTGTCTCCGTGTTGCCACTGTAGTCTGGTACATGTAGCAGACACGGAATCCTGTTCGGAATCGCCGATTGAGGCCGAACCACCAACCTGGTGTCAGGTACTGGATTTGTGATGACATCACAAGTTCCGGTCAGCCAACCCAGAGTGTAAGTGTCCTCGCACCAAGTTTTGAGGACACCATCCGAGAAATGGGCCTTACCCCGGAACCTGATGTCGTTGGGCTCGGTAGTTAGGGTAGCATCAAGATCCGCCAGGAGCTCATCTTGAATTTTACCCTCGATTTGTAGGCGGATGTTATCCGCCTGTTCCTGTGTCATATCCACGAAAGGCTCAGTCATCACGGCAACACAAAGCTCGTTAGCTTTGTATGATGCTGCCGCTTCCGCGTAACTGGCCGAGGTCCCTGCCACCGTCTGGGGTTTGTTGGGTTTGACCCTTTTACTTTCCCCAGTCGGTGTTACGGTTTCCTCAGGCCGGTCGCGCTTCTGGCCCTTCGTGGCTTGGTTTGTTTTGGAACTCTTAAGTCCCTTGCCGCACCCAGAGCAGCTAGGCACGGGCGCAGCAGTGGATCTTTTAGGCTTCGGTGTCCTTTTCCCGCCTCTCTCAACTGTGGTTACAGCGGGGGCAGTTCCAGGTTTCACAGGTGGCCTCGGAGCGCCGGTGACCAGCTTCTGCTGTTCCGGCGCCCTTATGGCTCTCCTGTGCCGTCGCCTTTTGGAGTTGCTAACGACCATTTTGAAAGTCGGCTCCTGAATTGCGGTCTTCAGGGCCGACATATCCATGGTCGTGGTTAGTGCACTGGACGTGCTCTCCGTCGCAGCCTCGGTCTGCCGCATCGTTCTTGCCGCGGAAGCACCCCCTTCAGACGCAGACAGTGCTGTATCATCGTCCGGAGTTGCTATCTTTGGCTCGACCGACGCAGTCAACCTGGCCGCAGCAGTGGTCACCTCCTTGTGCGGTGGTATACGGGATTCCATCGGATTAGGTACGGGCCGGAGTGCAGCCCGGATTGGTGCAACCCCAGCCGCTGCCCTCTCCTTTGGGGTCCCGGACGCTGCCCGTGAGGGTGCATCGGTGTGTGTGACAGGGGCATCAGAGTATCGCGCCACTGGTGACTTGCACCGCGACACGTCCAAAGACGCAACCCTGGGTTTGTTGGTGTTTGTGATCGTTTGTTTAAGTTTTTTTGCCTCTTTATCCATGAGGTGATATGGTTTGGATTCACCATTGGAGCTCTCCACCCGCCACGGAGCCCTCACGTCGGGGACGTCCCTTGCTCAGCAAGCGACGTCAGAGCTACTCCTCCGGTATAGAGCCAGCACGTAGGGAGGCAGACGCATCCGCACGCAGCAAGGAAGTACGGAGCTGTTCGCGCCACGAGACTATGACGCAAACTCACCCCGAGTCCCGCGCCGCGCCGACGGCCCCCCCCCCACATCCCGACTCTCGCTCGGCAGCCCGCTTATGGGATGCCACAGCCGGTTGACCGTGGTTAGCTAGACCCCGGCCTCCCGTGTGAGGAGAAATCCAGACCAAAGAGGTGTGTTGTGTGCAGCGCACAACTGTTCCGGCGCACTACTCCACTCAACCCCCAGGATTCCTTCATCCCCCCGTACGGGTCCCCGCGCACGGCACAAACACGCGGGAGGTCATTTACTGTCCACCGTCCTCCCTTTTTGGACGATGAACTCGCAAGGACATGACCTCTCCATCCCTGCAATAGTTCGCTTGGCGGTTTTAGTTACGTCTAATACATAGGGTATTAGACCAAGAACAGGGTCGGCAACCTCGAGAAGGTTAGTCCACCAAACTTGCTTTGAGGGGATCATAGCGACTTGCGCTACCCCCAAAAGCCACGCCTCCCTACCCATCAGAATGGTAGGATGTGGTAGGATGGGTTTGCACCTATGCTACCATGCAAGCATGTCGTACTGGGAACCGTAGAAGCATAGACCCAAATCCCCCTATTATTATATATTATTAAATTTTATGGTTGTATTCTGTTGATTTGTTTGATTATTTTATTTACTTTTAATTAATGTTGTCACCTTGGCAACTACTTTATGCTGATGTTCCCTAAAATGTTCCTTTAGTGTAAGTTTTTTTTACTACGTACGGTACTATGTTTCTATACCCTAGATCTTTTTAATAAATATTTTTAAAACTTTATCTTGCTTTCAATCCCAAAATTCAAATTAGTTTCTCTAGTGCTAGTTGTAACTAAAGCTCGGAGTGACAACTAGTTTTATCAGAAAATGAATTATATCAGTGGTAAATTCTAGTTTTCACTTGTTATTTCTAGTTTTGACAAAGGCATTTAGTAAAAACTATTTTTAACTAGGGAAAACGAGTTTTAACTAAAAACTAGTGTTAACTGTAACATATATAATTCTACTGTGAGTGTGTATGTCACTGAACTTCTCTCAAACGACTGGACCGATTTTGATGAAATTTTTTGTGTGTGTTCAAGGGGATCTGGGAATGGTTTAGATTCACAAATCAGCCCGGCAGATGGCACTTCAGTCGGTACTTTCATACTTTGCTTAATATCCTAATCGCTTTAAATATCATGCAGGACAACGTCTGTGGGGTCCACTAGTAAATATATAAAATATTAGTCAGACCCTTTTAAGGTCTGTGCCTCAGGTTTCTGTATCTGTTTAATGATCATTTGTCAATCTAATAGGCAAGAAGATGATCAGCCTCATATCCCTGACACACGCCGTCGACATTTTAAGTCAGCAAACAGGTTTCCTTACGATGTTTTCCTTCACCGTTCGAGCGAATGATAAATGCGCACATTGAAAGAATGTCTATTGGTGCACAGCTGGGGATCGAACCTACCACCTCAGAGATGAGAGTCGCACCCTGAAGCCGCTAGACAAACACTGCTGTTACAAAATTTTAAAAACAGCAGAGATCGGTCCTCATACAGCTATGAAACACAAATTTCTGAAGGCATGTTTAATTATAATATACTCGTAAATCAATTGTTTTAGTATTTTTCTTTACCTATTATTTATTTTTCCCACAGTTCAAACCTTCTCTGAACTTCCACAATTATCTTAAGATTATAATTAGCCAAATCAGTCCAGCCATTCTCGATCTTGGCGAGACAAAGTCATTTTTATATCGATTAACAGTTTATTAAAACGCAGTGTTGGCTTTGGGCGTGGGGCCTAGGGGTTGCCAACATTGTAATTATACTTCTGCGACATTGTAATTTGAGTCATGACCGCACCTATGCACATTCTATGTGCGCATTAAACACTCGCTCGTATGGTGAAGGAAAATATTGTCAGAAATACCACTATGTGGAACCAGCTGACACTGAAGTATTTCCGAACCACTTCGACTTAGGGTCTTTCAAAAAAAGAGCCTACCAATTCTTAAAAGGCCGGCAACACACTCACGAGCCCTCTGTTATTGAGAATGTCCATTGGCGGCGGTTTTACTTTACATAAGGTGAGCCTCCTGCCCATTTGCTGTTCTATAAAAAAAAGGAAACCGGCATGACTTAGACCCAAAAAGTCGACGGCGTGGGTCAGGCACAGATGGCTGATCAGACAAATCTAATCATCTGAGGACAACAAGCGTTATAGCGCCTTTTTTTCAGCATGGAGGCTGTTCTATAGTCACAAATATAGCCGAGTTCTGGGCTTCGCGTGCTGTCATCAACTATACAACTGGGCTTTATGATATTTCAAGTAAATACTATGTTTATATTTGTTTATTAAATTACTACCCATATATAATGCATTTTCTACAGTATATGTTACAAGCTATTCTAAAATACATGACAATTGTGGTGCACATACATTTTACAAAAGAAAGTATATTTTAAATAGATTTTGTTTTGATGTCGTACTTTTAAACGCAATTTTTTTTAGTATTTATGGTTTTGAACTAGCGATAAAAGTGTAATTTTTGAAGTGAAACTTCTTTAGGCGTATGAGGGTACAATTTTTCACGTCACGATGTGCAGCGTTTTTGTCAAAGAAGAGGGAGAGAGGGAATTAATTACCTTATAGAAATTAATTTTTTTAAATTAAAATTTCGTAAAGAGAAATAATAAAATATTAGTATTTTATATTTTATGCAAAATATTTTTTTGAAATCTCAAATCAAAATGCCACGTGTTTTTATTTTCGAAGAAATAAATTAAAAAAATTAAATTTACTATTTGTATTAATTTTCGACACTTTTAATATTTTATTGACAATTAAATAATAAATTCATTAAATTCCTAACATATCTTCCTTTCTCCCTCCCTCTAAGTCTCGGAAATTATGAACAAGACTTAAAAATTTGTCTGCCAAAGAAGTTTCACTTCTGTCATGTGTAGTTTCTACGCACGCACTTTTTTTGGATATACACGGATGCTTCTAAATGTTTAAAGGCTGGGTGTGCCTTTATATCGAGAGATTTTTTGACAACAATTATATATAACTTAACTGTTCTTATACATTATATTTGTTATTCTTATTTTAAATGGCTGATTGGGCGGGTTTTTTTTTATAATTAATCAATCTGAATGTACCACTTTCTTTGCAAATAAACGATTTAAATTTTTTCTCGAACCCGTGCGGCTTCTTCAATATAAAAAGTCCCTTCGGCATTTGTACCTTGATTGCGAGGATGTTGGATAAACTGTGGTGTATATCTTATTTTTGACATATTATGTGTTTGAATGTCCTCGTATGTGTGATGTTTGAGAATATAAAAAAGATGCATAGTTTAAAGCATTATGTATGATGTGATAAACTCCAATAAATAAATATGTATATATGTCGTTGTATGTTTTCAGACGTAATGGGTCCAGACGAAGACCACAGCAATGTAACAAATTCGGTTTTTACTAACGTCGTCGCAGGATATTCTTTATATTTGGCTCAGTAAGTTTATTAATATTTTCTTATAGTATTGCTTTAAAATTTGTTCACTAGTTAAGTTCAAATAAATGAAACTCTTTGTTTAAAGCTCGGTGTCAACTAGCTTTAATCGTTTAAAACATGGGCTTATAACTAAGATGAAATTAGAGTGGGGGTAGTGGGGTTGCGACGCTAACAAAAAACTAAATTGGCTTATTGAAGGATTATTAAATCTAAGTGACACTTCTGTTACCTATAAAGAATATAACTGTAGTCGAACTGTGGGAAAAGTGTGGGGAAAACTAAAGGGCTTATTTTTGCTTCAAGTAATATTTAGTAGTAATTATTATTTACTAAACTTTAAAACTTACGATTCGAATTATACAGCTACTAATTAATTTGTTTGTTTAGAAGTTTTATAGAACTTTTCTATAGAAATAAGCGTGATGATGAGATGAGTGATCTTTTACAGATATGTAGCGTGCCTTTGCCAATCGTACTTTGAGGCGAAGAGCCCAGATCGATGGGCAGATATTGCCTGGAGCCTTTCCCTTCCTTACGATCGAACCCTGGATTATCACCCGCAGTTCAGTGGTTACCACCGCGGTGACGTCATTAAACAGGCCGATGCTGTCCTTTTGGGATATCCTCTACAGTATCCAATGAATGTGTAAGTCATCTTTTTTTTAAACACACAGTCAAAACGCCTTCCACGGATTTAAACATCTATTTATTACAGAATATAATTTGACGTATCGAGTGACATTATAAATCTAACGAATTTTTTATTTAATGGGGACAATAGTATGAAAAAAATAAAAATACAAGAAAATGTATAGCAAACATAAATAATTCACTGTTTTTTTGTTTAAATAATATTCTTAAGTAATAATAATAGTAATTATAAATTAAAACAAATTTGTAAAGTTAAGAACCCTATGGCTTACCTTTAACGCTGGCAGCACTTCCTCGCTGTATTGCGATACTTATTCGTTGGGCGAGGATAGCACCAGCTCTGGGTCACCGGTACTATCTACCAGGCGCCAACTTAAATCTTTAATTAGTGCAATTTAACCTCGCCCAAGAGTCCTTTCTAAAGTCAATAACTCCAAACATGGTGAAAATACCTTTATATTTATATTTTTGTCATTAAAGCAGTTCTTCTACCGTAAAAAGTTGTGACATCCATGTAATACCAGGTCGGTTAATTCAGTCCCTATTTAAGGGACCTTCTGTCCTAATTTATTACTTAGTTATCTATCTATCTTATAGTGAACATATCAATATTACAAATCTTATGTTTTAAATAAAACATTGACATGCCCCCGGATGGGAAATCTAAACTATTGCCACAATAATTCATCGGTCCAGCCATTCATAAAACCATCATATTCAACTTACGCTTGTTTAGCACTTAACACTTCCATACTCCAACATCTTCTTATCAATATTTTTCCTAAGCCCGAGGTGTCACGAATTTCAATACTATTTAAACGATATTTCCCAGCGATTATATTTCTTCTCAGATCGACCCGAGCAAACGACCTCTCATACTACGAGACCGTAACTCGAAGTACGGGACCAGCGATGACGTGGAGTATGCACGCGATTGGGCATCTTCAGTTAGAAGACAACTTGGGGGCGGCTTCGCTATTCAATAGAAGCTATGAGCCCTACGTTAGAGAACCATTTAAGGTTGGTTCTCTCTATTTAATTAGAAATGATCTCCAGCCTAAGAATAACAAGAAAATACAATTTAAATTACACAAACAAAAAATATAGCATTATGAATATAATTAAAAAGTATATTTGAGTAGATGTTGTTGAAAAGTGCTTAACTAAGCTTTTTAAAAGGCCGGCAACGCACTTGCGAGCCTGGCAATGTGAGTGTATATGGGCTCTTAACATCATTAGCCCACTGTCCGTTTTCTCCGGTTATATAACAAAAATGCATCTGCTAGCAGACTGCAATTTATACATATAATATTTGTACATGGACTTTTATTTATGTGCCCGTCATTAATAATCTGGAATGGAACTGTCCGAGGACCAGTCGGTGAAGCGTTGAATGGCCTCCCACTAGGATAGGGGGTGACCTGGCGAGGGTGGAAGGAAGGCGTTGGATGCGCGGGTAACCGGTCGCACTGGAAATTTAGGCGAGAGGCCTATGTTCTGCAGTTGATGGCAACAGGCTGAAACGAACGATTTATCATCGTGAGAAAACTAGCATGACTTAGACACAGTCTTGTGTCAGGCACAGGAGGCACACACGCCGTCGACTTTTTGGGTCTAAGGCTAGCCAGTTTCCTCACGATGTTTTCCTTCACCGTTCGAGCTAATGTTAAATACGCTATTTCGTCGGTACTTTTTCTGGTAAAATACATATTCTTTCCAGCGGGATTAAAGTCGATGTGCCAAGGCATTTTGCTCACTCAGGCTTTCTTAGTTTTATAAGCATGGCGATTTCGAAAATCGTCGGAGTTACGCCCCGAGAGTATAATAATGATAATAATAATAATTTCTTTATTGCAAGAATATAGTACAAAATGTTAAGGTGATACAATCGTAAATCGTTCGCATATTCTGCCACACACGATGGCGCGCAAATTTGTCTTAAGGAATTTTACATTATTAGTCAAAGTCAATTCTTATATTATCTAGTCTATTATACTATATACATTACATCATTAATTTTATATTAATTACGGTGTTTCACGCAAATAATCATTTATTGAATAGTAAATTTTTTCTAAAAGTAATACACTAAGTCGCTTTTTAAAGACTCTAGACGGAAGATCTTTTAATTCTTTTGGTAATTTATTGTAAACTTTAATTTCCATACAAATGGTGTTTTTCCGAAACAGTTCCAAATTGATTTTTGGTACAGCCAATTTCTTCCCATGTCTACTTCTTACTTCAACTTCTACATTCGATTTAAAAATATGTATGTTTCTGTGCACGAATAAGGATATTTCTAAAATATAAATACATGGAAGAGATAAAATTTTGAGTTTCTTAAATAAAGGTACGCAACTATCAAGACAGTTTGCTCTACAAATTGCTCTAATACATTTCTTTTGAGCCTTAAATACCCTATTTACTTCGACTGAATTTCCCCAAATTATAAGCCAGACGTAGGCACTCTCTTTGACTGTTACATTGCAATCATTCGTTACATAGCCATTAACATTTCATTATTGCATACAACAAAAGAATACGAGTATAAGCGAAATAATGAAATAATGAGTGGTTAATATAGAGTAAACTCAACTCTAATCCTCTATTATTTAAAGCACCCCGATGACCCAGGATTTGTACGGTACTGGCCTTTAAGTTGCTGCAAATATTTATAATTTTAGTAAAGTTTTAATTAATTTTGTTTGTATATATGTAAGTCGATCATATTACCATTAAGAGTATTTTAGGTATGGAGTGAACTCCGTCGGCCGGAAGTGGGTGCGGTCAACTTCTTCACGGGAATGGGAGGGTTTCTTCAGGCTTTAATCTTTGGCTATGCAGGCATCAGTGTACACTTGGACAAGATTACTATTAATAGACCTCAACTGCCTCCAGAAGCCACGAGGTTCAGGATAAAAGGTAAGGTTTCTGTAGCTTCCTTCCATTCATAGCGAGCAAATGGGGCCGTTTTCAGTGAGAATCTCTTACTCTCTCTTTCCGCGTCACAAGTGACAGGTGACAAGTTACCTTTTCTTCTTCTTTTGATGCCACTTTATAACTAAAGGTTGTCCTTTCACAACTTGAACTGCCGGGTATATTGCGCTAGTGTTAATCTAGGTTACCTCGGAGAGCTGTAAATGGATTGACCTAACAATAAAAAAAATCACGCGTTATTTATAAGGACAATTAACACATTAAAGGAAAACAAGGAACATGTCCTCGACTCAAATGGAAAAGCAGACTCCAATGTACTCAACATTTTCCCCACGCGACTCCAAGTCTCTGCCAGGACTACCTACGAAAAAATAAACTAAACAGTAGTAACAATTTCTTTAAAATATTAATTTGTAGTTTGGTTTATTTAATTTCAGTTTTCTTTTTGAAGTTATACTTCTTTAGGCGCGTTATGAAAAATTTATGAAAGTGAAATATTACGATGCGCGTGCACCGTGACACAAAATTAACAGAATGAAGTTGCCCACTAACTAATTTTTTTTACACCAGCCGGGCGCCGAGCGTGCGCGAGCGAGATGAGAATAAGACAATCTACAAGTAAAATGAAATAGAATATGCGTGAAGTTAGCAAAATTTTGAATGACCATAATGACCTTTGTAGTACCTTTTAAACAAATGAAGGAGTTTGAATTATTTTTTCAAAGAAATTTTGCAATGCTTTTTCACAAAGACCTATTGTTACTTAGTTAAAAGGTTCTGAAACATACCTAGTTATTAAATTGAATGAATAATATAATAAAATAATAATTATTAATTAATAATTGAATAATATACTAAATATTAAATATTATTAAATTATTACTAACGTTAAATATTTATTATTAATTATTTAATATTTTTTTAAAATAAAGAAAGCCAAAGAAGTATAACTTCTTACGCGCGTACATAAGTACATAAGTAACAGGCACCCTTTTTTTTCTATTAATGTACTTAATTGACCTATGTTTTCTGTTGAGCAATATTTAACAATGTAATCTGTTTTGTTTAAAATACAGTTTAGAGTCTATATTATTGTTTCTAAATGTATGTTATTTTTTGTTCAAGTTCTGAGTTCAAGTGATAATGGATGTTATCTATTTCTAGGAATTAAATATTTAGGCGCACACTTGTCATTAGATATTATGGTGGCAGGCACAACGCTAACTGTGACGTCATTGGATGATAAATGGCCCCTCACTATGTTTAATGGGAAATATAATATCACCCTTGTTCCGGGACTGACAGGTATCAAATAGATATTTAATTTGTTTAATAATAATAAAACTTATATGACAGAAACGTGGTCACATCAGCCCCTGTGTTGTGGGTAACTACAATTGCTATCATAATTTCACAGGCGTTTTTGATAACTACATTAACTTTTACATTTACCATGGAGAGTGTTCAGAGGAGTTGTTCGGATTATCTGCTGCTGAGTTTCATCAACAGACGTCGAGGCAGAATACGAAATTCCACCTGTATCACCTTAACGTCCGGCGTTCCACAACTGATTGTTTTTTTAGGCAGTTTCCGCGCACAACCACTATGTGAATCCAGCTGGCCATCGGTGTATTTCCGAACCAATTCGACTTAAAGGGACTCTGAGAAAAGAGCGTATCAATTCTTAAAAGGCCAGAAACTTGCGAGACCTCTGACAATGTGAGTGTCGAAGGGCAGCGGTATCACTTAACATCAGATGAGCCTCCTGCCCGTGTTTAAAAAAAAGAGTAAATTTATTTTTGAAGTGAAGCTTCTTTAGGTGCACGAGGGAATTTTTTTCTGATGAAACGAGATGAGAGAGTGAGAAGGGCGAATAACCTTATAGAAACTCTATTTTTAAAAATAAAATTTCGTAAAGAGAATTTGTGAAATATTAGTATTTTATATTTTATGCAAAATAATTTATTGAAATCTCAAATGACGAATTGTAAATTAAAATGCCACGTGTTTTTATTATCGAAGAACTAAATTAAAAAAAAAAATATAATTCATTAAATTCCTAACATATCCTTTTTCCCTCCCTCTAAGTCTCGGAAATCTAATGTTTTAGATTTGTATAAATATGAACAAGACTTACAAATTAGTTTGCCTAAGAAGTTTCACTTCTGTCATTGTAAGCACGCACTTTTTTTCTCAACAATGAGGATCTCTGGAGCATCGAGTGCTAGGCTGTTCCAATATATTGGATGTGATAGCCAATGAGATGGATGTCTCTATTCGCAGTATTGCTGCGAAAGGTCCGCAAAGTTGCGGGGCTTTTTGTACTAATCCTACTAACAAAACGAAAGAAATGATTGTTACTACATACATTAATGGATTGTCTAAATAAAAAAAACGACGGGTTGCACTCAGGGAGAGCCAGCAGTAGTGAAAACTTGAATATTAACGTTGTGCATTTTTGATATTTTGGAATGGGTAGGGAATAATTTTGCACGAATTGCTTTATTTATCAGTATAAAAGTACTTTCATTTATGTGGTAGAATATAATATTTATTTATTGCGCTATCGTAACATGACAATTTATATTACATTAAATACGCCGCGCCAGCTGTCTACTCTCCATCCGTCTTACGAATTTTCGATCAGGTCACATGTCCTGACGCGAGTTTAACATTTTTTACCCATTCCAAAAAAGTGTACAACGCCGCTAAAGAAGTTTTCACTTCAAAAAATATTCTTTATGTTGCTAAGAACTTTATCTAAGGTAATGTTTACAGTTACATTAATGGGGCCTGGGCCATTCACAATACATTCCACGCCGTGGAAGGATTGCAAGCTACCTGCTGATGTCATTGGCGAAAACTATTTAAGACCAATAGGCTCATAATACAAACCAAATCACAGAGACACAGTTACCTAAATTATTTATTAATTTAAATAAAAACAATACATTTTAATCCTTGTTTTATTTTAAAACCAATGGCGCTTACAACCTTTTAGGTCTGGGTCTCAGTTTTCTGTATCTGTGTCTGATTAGATCAGCCTTCTGTGCCTGACACACGCCGTCGACTTTTTGGGTCTAAGGCATGGTTCTTCACGATGTTTACTTCACCGTACGAGCGAGTGTTAAATGTCTATATTATGTGGTCTGTGGTTCTTTACGCGCCAATTTTATTTTTACAGTCATACTATGATTGTAGGCTTTAGCGCTACCACCAAGCAACCGGCCTTATAATATTAGTATGGAATTAACTTTAGCATCAGCATTAAGCATCACGCCAAGATGCTGACTATTGAAAAGCACTTGAATCATCGAATTTATAATGTATGATGGATATAAACCATTAAGAAGATTTATACATTCCTTTATATTTACCTACTTGTACAAACATAAAGTCAACTTTATAGACATCCTGTACCTCGCACTTGGCACGGACGTCATTACTACAGGATTCCTATTGTCGCACTTACGATTGTAAACCAATTATGTATTATAAAATTATTGTGATGAATATTGATGCTTCGGTGGACGGAGAAATTGTGAACAATTTGTGTTCCACAGTCTCATATTACGTATCTGTGTATTTCTTTAAATAAATAAATATAAATATGTAGTCTCTTCGGAGCTTTCCTTTGGTCCGTTCTTCTTCAGGTGCAACTTTATTACTAAACTTGGCTGATAACAACTTGAATTGTCGGGCATCTTGCGCTCCTTAGCGAATGAGATGCCGGTCTACTCCCGTAAGTTCCGCAACCACTACTTTTATCTTCTTGAATTTTGTCAATCATCATTGGATCCATAACATATTTAAACCTTTACTAAATGACTTAAGTCAATAACTCTTAATAACTGACTTGAATGAAAAGTTTAGTTTTACAATGAAAACACTTTTAAATTGCAATCAGGAATATTATTAAATATAACCTAGATATTGTTTTCGACGCAGGTGAAATATCGGATTTCATGAAATACCGCTGCGTTTGCGGTTGTTTGTGTGTTCTGTAAAGCTTAACTGTTTGAGTAATAAAAAATTCAATTCACAAAATGCTTGTCGCAAATTTCCACTCCTAATGGAGCACAGACGTTTTCCAATTATAAAAAAACATATTTTAAGTACGCAGTTGAACCCAACTTAACAAAAACATGCCAAATATTACTTGATAATTAATCAAACCCATGTCATGTCAATAAGCCATGAAAGTTAGTATATTTGTAATACATAAGTAATTTCGGTATACATTTGAATGATGAAATAGGTGCTAGGTTTCATTGGAGGTACACACTTGATTGCTACGAAAAATGACTGCGAAGTATGGGAACCAGGAACTTTAGAGGGCTTTTATGTATAGTGTCCAGGAACTTTTTTCATCTCTTATATACAGTCAAAATCTGTTATAACGACATCGAAGGGACTACTCATATTTGGTCGTAAAAACCGATAGTCGTAACAGCCGATGACGTTGTTATTAAGTATCTAATACAATAGAATTCAGCCGGGACCTTTGATTTTGGTCAATATAACCGGTATGTTGTTCTAAACCAGTGATTCCCAAAGTGGTCCATATCGACCCCTAGGAAATTGGGGGTCCATGAACTGAAAATGGGGGTCCACGATTGTGGATCTCAACACATACACTGATAGTACCTATTTACTTACATCATACTATCTTATCAAAACATATACATTATATTGATTTTATTTATAGTTTATTTAAAAATACGTATATTTTACATAACAGATACAACATTTTATTTTGAGTAGTTTTAATTTAAATTCAATTAATAAATGTATAAATTAACATGTGCTTTTACTTTAAGGTTTTAACACTAAACTTCACTACAGTTAGAAATTTACAGGAAATCAATATCAGGTAGGTAGGGGGTCTACCCAACACGGAAAAACATGGCAAGGGGTCTACGACACAAAAAAGTTTGGGGAACTCTGTTCTAAACGATGTCGTCGTACCGTTTTGACTGTATATATATTTTATTTTACTTAAAAGATACATAAACTTTGGAGGGCTACATCAACATTACTTTATAAATAAATTACGATTGCTAATGTTCATGTAAAGAAATGTTTATTGGTTGTAAAATAATGTCATACGATCTGACGTCAGCCATCGGCCGATCGTATTTTGACACAGTTTCGTTCGAATATTCTTGATCTCTGTAATAAAACTGATCGATTAGATATAAAGGTAAAGTAAGATTAGGTTTGAAATTAAGGAAACGTTTTGAATGTTTTTTAATGTAATGGAATAGTCCATATTATAGTTGGCTACTAACAAGTGTTTTACGTTTCTATCAGAAAAGGGTGTGTATGGAGGTAGACCCAGCATTTTAAACTCTGAGTCGGAAGAGTTGCTAGTTTAATTATTACTAATAAGATACAATTTGTTTTCTATGTAGAATATCCTATTTCTATGTACCATACATAATACTTACATTATTGAGTGGTTATCTAGGGTTTCTGCACACGCCTTCCAGAACTTTTTTTGAGTCGCTAAATTGCGACCTTTCTTTAAAAAAACTCGTAGGTTTGAAAACTGTAATAAGAACTTACAAAATTTGTGTAATTATGTGACATGACATGACGCATTTTTGCGTCCGTTTCATCGATTTGCTCCGTGTATGGCATTTATCCGTACTGTGGTTCCGGGCGAAAAAACAACTGTAAATACTTCAATCATAAGACACTTGACTTCCCGCCGCGCACCACCTCTTTGTGGAACCAGCTGCCAGTAGAGGTTACAAACCGACTTCAAGAAATTAGCATACCGTTCCCTGAAAGCTTCGCTTCAGGCGGCAGTTATCCCGGCTGCAACGGGCAGCCGCAATAAAGTGATCCCGTCCCATAAAAAATGGATACCCTATAAGGATTAAGCTAGTTCATCCCCTTCCCAGAAGATAAAGGTCATTTATTTATTATGATTTCCAGGGAGTGGTTAGATTTCAAATGCCTCTATAGTACGGAGAAGTTTATACGTTATAATATATTATAAATAGTCAGTGTTATTAATCTAAGCGCTTTCGCTTTTCGCCTTTGGGTCGCGACCCTTGGGGGGTCGAGTTTGTTTTAAAAGGTCGCAGTCTGTTGAAAATTAATAAATACATACATATATGTATAAAAGATTCGTTGATTAAAGGAATTATTAATTAATGTTGTTTTATAAAACTAAATTATAATTTTACAGTGACGGGGTCGCAAGCCTGTTTTACTCAACTTTTTGGCTTTTTCGTGGGTCGCGACATAAAAACGATGATCTAAGCTGTACATAATAATAATTAAGATTAAACATGCATTATAATCAAATCTAAAATAAAATTTAAAAGTAACCTCCCTGCGGCAGTGTGCTGCTTTTTCTTGCGTAATTGTTATTAAATATATTTTGCTTTGAAATTCTATTATCCATCTTACTTCATGGCAATATTTTATTATAACGGTGGATGAATATGCTGCTCTTCAATTATAATTAAGTATATTCAATTATAATTATATTCAGCCGTAGAATTTGTTACTACATTAAATAAACTGGCTGGCTAATGCTTAGGCCATTCGTACGATCATATGACGGAAATGAAATGAAATATCTGACATAAGAAATTCTTTATTTAATATATTTGAAATGTAACTTATTAGTGTTCTTACACTCTTCCATATTTATCATTAAACTTTGGAAAACATCATCACATTTGTTGTTTGCCGACGCTTTATTGACAGTTTGAAGTTGGTGGCAGAAAGTGGAACTAATTTGAAATGAACAGGATATGCAAGTAATGGAACGTCATCGGTTCAACTCATTTTCCCAGCTGTTTGATCAAATGGCTGAATATCTTTCAGGACGCTAATTGAACGGCGCTGTTCAGTAAAGAGACTAGACTGTTAAATCAACGGCTTTTTCTCCTTCCGAGGCCCTTTCATCTTTAAAAACAAAATTATCACTTACATTTCAAAAATCATATTACATACATTTATTAAACATCTCAAACAATATCTTGTTAACCTGTCCTATTCTGATACTGAAAATATTCTTATTGTGCAAATATAGTTTAAATATAAATGTGTAGAAATCATTTATATAATTTTAAGTTATACTTCTTTAGGCGCGTTATGAAAAATTGATGAGAGTGAAATTTTACGATGCGCGCGCACCGTGACACAAAATTAACAGGATGAAGTTAGTGGCGCATGTTGGCACGCACGCCGCCTCTGTTCACTGTGTATTTATAATATTTATCCACATGCTTTGAGTTTCTACATTTAAAACACGTGTTTTCATTATACAAGTGCGAATTTTATATGTGCGTCTGAATTATAATCAGAAGTGATTTAAATCAATACTAATTAATATTAGAAAATAATAATAAATATAATATTAATAAATATTTGTTTAATTTTTCAAATGTAAACTGAACTTTATTGACTATAATGACTCCTTTTCCAGTCTTTGATTATTTAATTGTAATTAATTATTTGCATGCAATGAAAAACTATTTTTAATAATGCCAAAGAAGTATAACTTCTTACGCGCGTACATAAGTACACGCACCCTTTTTTAAAATACCGTTTACATGTCAAAAGGAAGAGACTGGCTGCCCACAAGACAGGGAATCCTAGTGTGGGGCCAGTGCACTTTACTTTATCTAAATATCTTGTGTTTAGTAAAGTCTTTTCTTTCTTTCTTTCAATTAAAGTAGTTGGCTACAACATATACATAGCGGATTTATGGTTTCCCTTCGTCGCAGTGATTGTAGTTGTCGCTACAAAATCTAATATAGGGTCATAAAGAAAACTCAGAATAAATGTACTTCTTTAATAAACAGATCTATAAAAAACAACTAGATACAACATTGATACTAATTATATTATTATTACATTTGGT